AGAAAAGGATGAAATACACGATTCATCAAGTCCATGAATACTGTCGGGGCATTACTGAGGCCAAACGGCATAACCAAGAACTCGAAGTGACCGTATCTCGTACGAAAAGCTGTCTTGGGTATGTCTGACTCCTTGATTTTCAGCTGATGGTAGCCTGAACGCAAATAGATCTTAGAAAACACGCAGGCACCTCTCAACTGATCAAATAAATCATCGATCCTGGGAAGTGGATATTTATTCTTGATCGTCAACCGGTTAAGATCCCGGTAGTCGATACACATACGCATAGATCCGTCCTTCTTCTTGACGAAAAGGACTGGTGCTCCCCAAGGAGAAACGCTCGGTCGTATAAAACCGAGATTCAGCAACTCTTGAATTTGGGTCTTTAATTCCTGTAATTCTTTAGGCGCCATTCTGTACGGTGCCTTTGAAACGGGTCCAGCTCCAGGGATAAGATCAATAGAAAATTCCACCTGTCGGCAAGGCGGACCTCCGGGAAGCTGGTCTGGAAACACGTCCATAAACTCACGAACGATAGGAATATCATGAGGTGAACGTGCCCTTGACTCATCTCCAACGAGGCTCACAAGATAACCTGGCAATCACCCCGTCAAAGAATCTTTCTGGCTTTCGCCATAGAAAAAATATGTGGTAGAGTACGAGTCCTGGAGCCGTAATAAGTGATCTGATCATCTCCCGGAAGATAAAGAGTAATCTCCTGGTCATAACATCGAATATTTGCGTGAAATCGAGTTAGCCAATCCATACCGAGTATGAGGTCAAAATCCCTCATCTTGATAACATAAGTATCAGTAATCAGAATACGGCCGCCGATGGAAAGGCTGAGATCAGTGGCTCTAGCGTCAGTCACTATCTTTCTTCCCGAGGCTAAACTCACCTCGAGAGGATCGACAGCGGTAGTGGAATGAACCCCAATAGCTTCGAGACATCGACGTGATATAAAAGAATGGGTCTCTCCGGTATCGAATAAGGCATAGACAGGCACATCATTAAGAATAATCATCCCGGACATGGTACCTGGGTGCTGATCGGCCTCCCTCTGGTCAACTTCAAAAACGCGAGCCTGCTGTCTGCCGCGTTGCTGTTTCTGTGGTCGTGGTGGTTGCTGCCTGGGCTGTTGTTGTTGAAGTTGCTGTTGTTGAGGTTGCTGTGGCTGTTGACGTTGTTGTGGTTGTTGTTGCAGTCATTTTGGACAGTTGTTGCTGAAGTGACCTGGCTGACGGCAAAAGAAACAAACATTCTGGCCCACGAGGCATTCTCCACGATGGTGCTTCCCGCAAGTTGGGCATTCTGGATATTGTCTGGGATGGGTCCTCCGGTTGTCTGAGCCCCCTCTGAGCTTCCTCTTCTTCTGGTTTGTTGATGGTTGGGCTACTTTGGGCTGGGCTGATGACTGAGCAACTGGCTGGGCTGGTGTCTGGACGGCTTCACGTCGGATACTGGCATCAACTTCCTGTGCAATGGCAACTGCGCGGGCGTAGGTCTGGACGCCGTGGCCTACGATGTTGTGGCGGACTGCTGGGCAAAGTCCGTCGGTAAAACAGTGGCCTCTCTTTGCTTCCGTACCTACAAGATCTGGTACAAAGGCTCCGAGACGGGTGAACTCTCGTTCGTACTCGTCAACAGTACGAGTACCCTAAGTGAGTGCCAAGAACTGGCGCTCCATATCTGCTCGGTAATACGAGGGATAATACTTTTTTCGAATCAGCTCCTTGAACTAGTCCCACGTACAACCGTCTTTTTCACCGGGACGCATACTCCAATAGGCTTGCGACCAGAGTTTGGCATCACCGGTCAGCTGGATCTGGGCACATAACATGCGATAACGATCAGTGCAGTTCATGACCTCGAAAATAATCTCGAGACCCTGAACCCATTCATCGACTACACGAGGATCTCCTTGGCCGGAAAACTTTTCTGGATGGTAGTCGCGGAACAAAGCGACCACTGTGGCCTGGGGG